CATCTGTGATGGGTCTTGGGTCTACAGTTGGTCTTCCCCCTTCTGCTCTTTTGCCTCCTCCTCATCATCCTCCTCTTGGGGAACCAGGAGCAATGTGAGAGGGGGATGCGGCCGAACACCTTCCACGGCGCGTGGCGCGCCGCCGGCTCTGGCCCACCACGCTTCGGCGCGGTACGCTCTCCACGGCGCAGTCCCCAGGCATCGACGCCCCGAGCTGTTCCCAGCCTCCCGCCTCGCGGAGCGGAGCGACACGCCATCCGATCGCAGGGCATAGCGTTTCGCCGTGGCCGCCGCCGTGACACGCGAAACGCAAGCTCCTGACCGCACACACTCGTGGAGGGGATGCATAGAGCCAGACCGACCCGTGAGCGAGGGGGGGGAAAGGTTCAGGGGGAGATCAGCTCGAGGTTGCTTTCGGACGTTTTCAGCGGTTCCCAACGGCTTTTCAGCTTCAAGGGGGGGTCAGGGGCAGCGTGATGGGGGGGATAGGCTCGAGGGGAAATGCATCGAACCGATGGGTTCACGAAGGCCCCAGGGTCAGAAGTGTGAAAAATACGGCGCCAGCATCTCAGGGATTGCGCGCGCCGCCACGAAATGCTGGAGGCCCGCTTCATACGGCCAAAATGGCGAACGACCTTGACGTCCCGAGTTTTTCAAGCCGCCAGACCTTTTGGAAAGGCGCTGGTGAACTTTTGACCGGGGCAAGGTTCGGGGGAGGATCGGCGCAGGCGTGGGGGACAGACTCGAGGCTGGACGTTTTCGGACGTGTTCGTCGGTGCCAGGCGGCTTTCCAGCCTCGCGATACGTTCCAGCAGCTGTGCCTCGCCGACGGCGTTCCAGGTGTGCACAAGTCGTCCCGAACGGGCGCTGGAGAGCCGAGTTGTGATCCGAAAACCAATGGGCAACGTTATGAAAGATTGACCTCCGGCTAAGTGGCCGAGGGGCAAGAGGGTGTAGACGCTAGATGTTTGGACTAGTGAGTGTGTTCGGGAGCCACGCCTCATCCAACGTGCTCCTGCCGCCATCCCACCGCGGTTGCCCAGAGGGCCTTTCTCGTCGCCGCGGTTGGATTATTTCAGGTCCGACGTCGCGAAAAACATGCAGCACCGTGAAAAAGTCACCACCAGAGTACTAGACCCTATCTTTCTGCGGCCTTTTTTCCGGGCGCGGGGCCGTGCGAAAAGACCCAGAGCGAAAAGGATGCGACACCCTGATCTCAGCGCTCGGGTGCGGGGCGGTCTTCGGCACACCGGTGTCTCAGGAGACATCTGGCCGAGCGGGGAGCGCAGACATCCCATTAGCTAGGTTGGAAGGGCCTTCTGGCCAGTTCCATCGACCCTGTAGGGAGATAGACCTCCCGAGAAGGCCGCGATGGAGCCGAAGAGCAATATACGAAGGCAGGCCGATGCTTATCCCAGAACGGCTTCAAGAGCACCTCGAGACCTGAGAACAGACAGAGCAACGTGCCACCTGTATCCAGTGGCTTTCCGCGTGGACCAGAGGCTTTTTGAATGCATATATGGGTATCTTGGCTCTTGGAGGGCTCTTGAGTTCGTCTTGGGCCTCCTGGGAGTCCTGGGAGCCTCTTGGGGACTTGCCGGCAGCCTCTGGTGTCATCTTGGAGCGGAGGGCTCCAAATGTCAGTTCATGTTCCCCCTTCTGAGGCCCCTTGGAGCGCTGGAAGGTAGAACAGCCCAGAACTCCTCCTCACACACGCCGACAGGGTCGGCGGATGCTTTATGGTTACGGACCAACCCTTTCCCCAGGACCAGCTTTTCAACCCGAGTCGTTCTTCGACGGCCCCAGAGCCCGAAACCAGCCCCCAGAGGCCGCAAACGGCGCAAAAATCCTTCCTAATACGTTCAATGCATTGGAGGTCGGAAATCGACTCCAAGACCCGCTGTAGGATGCGTTCTGGCCAGTGTCTCGAGGAGGCCCAAAAACGGGCGCCAAACGTCCAAAATCGGCGGCGAGCCATGGGGGAAGTGCAGGGGGGAAGGCCTTCTCAGAGACTCGGAAGGTGGCGGGGCTTCTCAGTAGCCCTCCGGCCTTTGAGACGCCGTCTCTGCCTTCGGAGAATGCTTAGAATTTTTCTCAGAATTCGCCGCCGTTTGAGAAGGCCTGCCCCTCTCGCTTCCCCCCCTGGGCCCGCCGCCAGCAAACGCCGCTCGATCATTGCAGCTCGCCGTCCGCGACCCGTGGCGGCGTCCTCTTCCGAGGCCGCCCTCGTGGCGGGTGCGCTATCGTGCTGCGCGCCCCGGCTCCAGGGCAGTGCCTGAGGGGGTCGGCGGGGCAGGAAGCGGCGGGTAGATTCCCCGATCTGGCACCCCTGGAGTCGGCGGCGAGCCCAGAAGGCGCGGAAGGCCTCGGGCCCTCTGAGAAGTTTTCTGAGCCTTCTCCGAAGACACAGACGGCTTCTCCGAATGCGCGGGGGCTTCTCAGAAGCCCCGCCGCCTTCTGAGAAGGCCTGCTCCCTCTCGCTTCCCCTCTCTGCTCGCTGCCGACTGGTCCATCGTCTTGGCAAAAATGGCAGCCTGCGTGAACCCCAAACAACAAAATGTTGCACGGTAGATGTGCACGTTGTGCGATGCAATCTACGTGGTGTCAGTTAAGTGGCGTGAGCCAAGCAATGTGGTGCAAGCTACGTGGTGCAACTTCGACGGACCCCCCAAGCGCGGTGGGCGGCAACGAGGTGGCACCTGGCGGAGACGCGGCGAAACCGGTGTCTCGGGAGACATCTGGCCGAGCGGGGAGCGCAGACATCCCATTAGCTAGGTTGGAAGGGCCTTCTGGCCAGTTCCACCGACCCTGTAGGGAGATAGACCTCCCGAGAAGGCCGCGATGGAGCCGAAGAGCAATATACGAAGGCAGGCCGGTGCTTACCCCAGAACGGCTTCAAGAGCATCTCGAGACCTGAGAACAGACAGAGCAACGTGCCACCTGTATCCAGTGGCTTTCCGCGTGGACCAGAGGCTTGTTGAATGCATATATGGGTATCTTGGCTCTTGGAGGGCTCTTGAGTTCGTCTTGGGCCTCCTGGGAGTCCTGGGAGCCTCTTGGGGACTTGCCGGCAGCCTCTGGTGTCATCTTGGAGCGGAGGGCTCCAAATGTCAGTTCATGTTCCCCCTTCTGAGGCCCCTTGGAGCGCTCGTGGAACAAGACGCAAGTTCTTCTGTCGCTTTCGTCCCCCAGGGGCCCGTATAGATCCGCGACCCTGCCTCGAGACACGAGTTGGACGGTCGTTGCTGGATGGCAGCGACGGCAATAAAGGTAATGACGATGTGAGCCGGTCAACGGGATATTCGATTCATAATTGACATCCAGAAATCGCCCTTTCTGCGCTGATGAATGTACGTGCTGCTGGCGGCGATGATGATGCTGATGATGATGATGATGATGATGATGATGATGATGATGATGTTGATGCTGCTGATGATAATGCTGATGTTGGTGATGGTGATGCTGATGTTGATGATGATGACGACGACGATGCTGATGATGACGATGATCATGATGGCGACGACGGCGATGATGATGAACATGATGATGGTGATGGTGATGCTGATGTAGATGATAATCATGATGATGGTGGTGATGATGATGGTGATGATGACTCTATAGGCTTACGCCACATCCGCCGACCCCTTAATTGAGTTCAAAGTTTTGATGGTGATGTTCGGTGTTTGGAGGGTTCACGTCGCGCAGTTGGCAGGTCTTTCAGTGCAGTGGCAAGTGCCAGAGGGAATTGTCGAAGTCGGCGTTCTCCGTGGACGCGAGCCATGTCGCGCGTGACGAGAAGAAGGGCACCTTGAAATGCAAGGCGTGCAAATGATACCAGTAGGGCGCCCGTACCATGGCCCGTAGAAGTAGGAGCAGCGGGGGTGCGAGCGAGAGGGAGGACGAAACCGATGAAAACAGGAACGCAAAGAAGGCGAAAGCGGAGGAGGAGGAGGAGGAGGAGGAGGAGGAGGAGGAGGAGCAGCAGGGGGAAGATGGGGGAGAGGCGAAAGTGGGGTCAAAGAAGAGGAGGAGGAGGAGGAGTCACGATCTGGTCTTGAGCCTGTTGGGAGCCTTTTGGGCCTCGCTTGGGGCTCCCTGGGGCCCTCTTGGGAGGTTCTTGCAGCATGATGAGGGCATCTCGGAGCCAAAGGACAAAAAAGTTGCCCTCCTGGCTCCCTCTTGGCGCCGTCTGGAGGCCCTCGTGGGCTGTTTTGGGGGCTTCTTGGGTCGTCTTTGGGCCCTCTTGGACCTCTCTCGGCAGTTGCCGAGGCCGTCCTGGCAGGATATGGAAGGTTTCGTTGCCCGTGTCGGACGCTGCGAAACCGCACGAGGCCAATATGGTTAAAATAAACGTTCTACGAAGGGCTCGCTTGGGGCGCCTCTTGGGGGCCTCTTGGGTTGTCTTGGGGGCTTCGGAGGCTGTCTGGAAGCCATCGTGGGCGTCTTGGAAGGGTATTTCGGCGACTCGTCGCCCTCTTGGACGATCAGGGAGGCGTTGTGGTGCCCTCTTGGCCCGCGTCGGGCCCTCTATTCCCCCATGGCGCGTTCGGCGGTGGGTCGCGCCGGGCGAGGGGGGGGGGGGTCAAATTGCCAGCTTGGGGTCCCAGGGGCGGGATTATGGGGAGGGAAGAATTTCATACGCCTAGACACCCATTAGGGGTCGGCGGAGTATAGTGGTGATGGTGATGGTGATGCGGATGTTGATGTTGATGTTGATGATGATGGTGGTGGTGGTAATGATGGTAATGTTCGCGGTGGTGGTGGTGATGATGATGATGATCATGATGGCGGTGACGATAATGATGATAACGATAACGATAACGATAGATGTGTCGTTCATGCCGAGCGGCGACGAGAGTTCTGGCGATAGGGCTGGCGGCAAGAGGATAGCGATGGTATAAAGCTGTACGCACCGAGCTCGCCGTCCTACATGACCGTGTCCTCATCGCACATGGGTGTCGCCGACACCACTGCCCCCCACCCACACACGCGAGCCCCAGGCGGCGAGGCCAGGCACGGCACGGTGTTCCTCGGCGCGCCCGTCGGCTGAGGATCGGGCGGTGCGCCCTCTGGCTGTTTGTTGTGCAGCTTGTGAGGGCCAGGGCCATCCCCCGTGCGGCTGCGCACACGATGCCGCCAGCGCCTGGCTGGACCAGGATGGGTGTTCGCTGCTACACGTATATAGTGGAAGCCCATGCCAATAAACAATTTGCTTGCCTCCATGGTGCCCTGGATGTCTTGGGTTCCGATGGTTTTGCTAAAGAAACGTGGCGCTCCCACACCAAAAAATCAAGGGCCGCACTGGGGTCTCAGGGTTGGGTGTCTTGTGGAAGGTTTCCTGTGGTCGAGCTCCTACTGTAAGCGTGGCCCCTCGCCGGAGTCACCTCTGGCGCGCTGGTTTTTCCGGGGAGGGGGGCGCGGGGAGACCCGCCGGAGCACGCGCGGACCGCGGCTGCCTCACCGCACGCAGCGATCGGCTGAGGTCATCGCTGCCCAGGGCTAGCACGCCCTCCCGGCCCAGCGCGCACCCATCGCGGGCAAAGGGTGGGTCCGCTCGGGAGCGGTGCTGACGCACAGCGTCCCGCGGCCCGGCTGCATCGCCGAGTGCATGAATGTACGTATTTTCGGCATCCGCCGTGGCGAAGTCTGCGGCGGCCGGCGCCGCGGACGCGCCTCCAGCGCCCACATGGCCGCGAGGTCTCCTGGGCTCGTGGAAGTTACAACGGCCTCGCTCTCCGCCCGCAGGTTCTCGCGGCGTCCGCTCGCTGTCGCCACGACGAGGAAGGGCCCTGACGGAAGCGGGCCCTCGGGTTTCTCACACTTGTGGGCCTCTCGGGGCCCTCACCGGGCCTCGCTACCGTCAAAAACGATTGCGGATGACAACAAAAAAAGGTCAGGGCGCTGGATCCGTTTCCCTCGGGAATTCTGTCCCTCACGTCATCATCGGTCCCATCTCTTTCTTGACCACCCCCCCACGAAACGGGCCCCCACAATACGAAAACGACAAGATCCAAAACAATATCCATGATGATTTCAATACGTTGGATGTCTCTGAACCTCTTCCTCCCTACCTACATACCTACCTACCTACCTATACCCTCGTCCTGTCTGATTATCTCTTTATTTCTCTTCCTCTCTCTGTCCTCATCGTGCTCCCCCATCCTCGACGCTCCCTGAGGAAGACTGCAGATGCCCGCTGGGAGCGCAGACGGCGATCGCGACCGCAGACGGAAGAAAATCGGTTCCAGATCCAAGGTCTTGATCATAGAAGACCTATAGAAGTCTGGGGCACGAAGCGGACCAACGGGAATCTGAAGACGACAGGGGTCGGGAGCAAAGGCTGTCAGAGTCATAGAGATTACGTAACGATCAGCGGCATTACAAGTGAGTGGAGAATCCAAGAAAGAAAGATGCCGCACCGATCGTCGTGTTGAATCCATTGCGTCCTGGGTTACGGTGCCAATCCTGGTGGATGTTGTTGCGTTGGTGGTAGTCCAGTTGGGCCACCCAACAGACGCCGCAAGATCTCCGAATCGTTCATCCTGGATTGCCTGGCGAGGTTGTGGTTGGCATTTGGTCCACCTTGGGTGGGATAGTGTAGGACTTCCGATTTTCTAGGTTCGCCCTGGGTCAGTAATATTTGTGGAATCACACGCCATTTCGCACATGAGGGGGACATTGTTGGAATCATGTAGTTACCCGCCAAAGCTCCGAGCAGTGACCCGGTATCCAGTCGACCCCATGATGCACAGCGAACGGGCCGAACCTGGAGATTTGGTAGCATTATGGTCGCATTCCTGAACACACCATCGTCGCGTGCGCCGTCGCAGCCCAGCATTGGCGAGGGAGCATGGACATGAATGCGTTGGTTCCGCCCGCCGCCGCCACGGCCCATCCACAAAGCGAATGTCTCCACCCAGCAAGTCCACGTGAGGCAATACGCCCGCGACCCATGCCGTCGGCTGAAATCGGCACAGCCCCCACGTTCGCCGACGCAAATCCGCAGAGCAACAGACGAGAGAAAGATATCAGGTATGCAGAGAGGTGGCACAAAAAGAGGATTGGGAGACTCATGCCGGAATGTTTCGAGCCAGAACCGCTCCAGAATGATTCGAGCTGGAAAATCTCCACTTGGCAATCTTACTGGTCTGCTATGAGCATGATGAAAGCAGATTGGCCTACAATAGTTGCGCCAGCAACGACCTTGAAAATGACGGAGCCAAATTTTTGCTTGTACATTGAACGAGCTCTCCGAGGTCCTGTGGACCTGCGCCAATTCCACTCGCCAGGAAGACATCCGACCAGAACTGCACCAGGCACTATGTATGTATGCATCTTGCCGGCGCCCGCAGTCCACCACTTGCAATTCCGCGCCCCCCTGACCCACCCCCTGATGGCGGCGACGACGCTGAAAGAGAAACTTGTAATGTACCGTTGTCGCCGTTTGATATCGAAGCCATCGTTGTCCATATTCTGTTTTGCGTGCCAATGAAATTATCGTCGTAGTTGCGGGCCTTAGGTTGCAAGTGTCGTAACCGTTATCATTGGGGGCTTCGCATTAGGTGGATGGTCTTGCTCTTGGCCGTACGATTCATCTCGATAGGCCCCAAACTCACGAATTGCAAAGTTTTGCCGCACGGTCAAGATTTTCATGGCAAGTAGTGGCGCGTGGTCGAAACCGTTCGTTTGCAGACAAAACGCTATCGGTCAATAGCAACATATTTTAGATACGGCTTCCTACCTGGCCGCAATGGATTTCAATGGAATTCCATTGGCTCAAAGGCTGAAGGGTTCCCAGGGCTCCAAGCGCCCACATCCTATTCCCTTTCTGCATTTACTGCCACATCCTTCCTTTCACTCACCCTCACTACCTGTACATTGATTTTCTTCTCTCATCTCGATTGCGGGCTCTTGCGGCTGGATACGGCCAGTGGCATGGGCTTCATAGTACGCAGTACAATATGCAGGACAAATCCCATGGACTACGATAGGCACCGCGGCCAGTGGAGCTTACTCATGGGCTGCATCAGCCAGCTCACGATCTTACTCAGCAGCAGCTGCCATGCCGACCGAATGCAAGCAGGCCGCCATCCAATACTACCTGGTGCCAGGGCTGGGCCCATTGTCATTGGAATGGGGTTGTTTGGGAGTGGGGGCAATTGTAGGTGCTTTGGTGACAGCGGTCATATTCCTTACGTTCATATGTTGTTGGAAGACGGGTCTGGGTCCTCCAGTCCATCATCAACCCGTTGAAGTAGGGGTGGTCCTTACGCAGACCGAACAAGCGCAATTCGAGGTATTGCAAGTTTTCCAGGTTGGCGGGCGCGATACTGTGCGCCAGAGGGCGGCCGATGCGGGGACAACGGAGATAGAAGAACATCTTCTGCGAGTTTGACAACACAGAGGACCGGGGCACAACCGCGGCGCAGGTCCGCAGTTCCAACCTCAAGAGGAACGGATGCACAGCTTGGTGCACTCCAGACCGCCCGCCCCTCGATCGAGCAGCTCGGGAAATGTGTTTTGGCTTGAAATACTTCCTGAAGAATTCCATGAACATGGGGTTGACCATGCGAGCTACCGACCAAAATCCCTACGCGGTTGAGGTGGGCGGAGAGCTTGCCTGAACGGTGACCATCGACGGGGACGCTATCACAAAGAAGCGGGGCAAAGATTGGGATACTCGGGCAGATATGTACAACCACCCAGAATTCAAGAGCTCGTTGGAATCACGTGATGAACTAGCGCAGCGCGCCAGCAAAGGGATGAAAGGAGGAGCCAAAGGCGCATCCAAAGGCGCCGCAAAATAGGAAACGCGGCAGGTGTTGATTCGCAGCAGCGCCGGAGCCGTTCAATGCCGACGGAATGTTTAATCTGCGGTTTTCTCTTCGCTGCTGAGTTTTCTCGGGCACCGACTCGCTGATCAGCCAGGCATGGGCAAAGATGCCAATGCTAGGACTGGTCACGGGGAAGCTTTCCAGGGAGAGGCGCAGCATGCCCTCAATCAATGCGTCGCGCCACCTTCTCGCCCCCCACCAGATGTTTCACCCAGTGGCACGGCCGCCTGTTCTACGACCATGGGCAAAGATAACGCGCTTGTACAACTAGCCGCGGAAGCCCCACTATCCTCTTCATATGGGATTCATTTTTCTTCGTCGTTTACATCATCGTTGATACCTGGGTTTTCTCAGTCGCCCGGCCGCGCCCGTGGGCAAAGTTGCGGAGACGGTTTTTTTTTCAGCGTGCCCAAGTAGCCGAGTTTTCGCCCATCCCATCATCTCTGCTCTCCTCCTCTGCGGGGCCCGCCCCGGCGATGGGCAGAGCTGGAATTACCGCTAATTTTCCAGCGTCAAGTTGTAGCATTGCGACCGATCGGAACAACGGCATAGCTCTCAACGACATTTTTTTCTTCCACGTCTGAACATTGGGTTGCAAACTTTGGATTTGGCGGGGGGCTCCGCTGATGGCAGCGACGCGCAAGACCAACATGCTTCTGCGCATGACGTTCAAGCACCCCCTGGAACTCCGATTGCTGGAAGCAAAAATACAAGTGCTGCTGAGTGTCGAACCTCTTGGGGGCGACCGCGTAGGACATGCAGCTCGCTATGTTCGCAGATGTTTGGGGCGCGGAATGTCGAGGGGCTGCGAGGCGACTCCTCTATCAAATTCGTGGAACTTACAAGAATGATGCAAGACAAAAACATGTAGATTCTTAGTATCGCAGAAACGCAGCTCCATGGGGCATCGCATTGCACAGACGACAGCGGTTTCCTTATTTGTCTTTCTGGTGAGCTAAACGATCTGATTCGATCTACCGTTGGTGTCGGATTTATCGCGGCGCCATGGGCGCCCTCGGCAGTTGTTGCTATCAGGGCGCGTTCTTCTCGAGCGGAAATTTCGCGAGTCAAAATGGCGGGCGGCATGCTGGCAATCATATGCGCATGCGCTCCCCGCAGCGGTCTGGACGCGGAAGATATGCGCACTTTTTACAGCAACCCGCAGGAACTCATCAAGCCTACGACGCCCCATAGTACCACCCTGGCGCTGGGAAATTTCAACGCGAAGCTGCTGCGGCAGAAGGCCAGGGAAGATAAAGCAATTGGGAAGCATGTGTTTTTTCCCCGCGCCGCCCCCGAAACATCCCCCGACGCGTGTTGCGAACGGAGAGTTGCGATTTGAGTGTTGTGTCGCCACTGACATGGTCATTGCGAACGCGTGCTTCGACCTCCCCAGTGAGCAGTTGGCCACTTACCGGGACTTGGGGACATGTCCGACAGAGGCGGCCGCGCCAGACATGTTCGCACAAATAGATCATGTATTATGTCATCAATCGTTTCTTCACGCGATAACAAGATGTGAAGTATGTCGCGAAGCAGCTCTCAACGCCCACCACTATCTGCTCGTGGTCGACCTGCCGCTCAATTTCTCCGCGAAGGCCGTCGCATACGAACATAAGAAAGATATCTATGCTCTGGCGGACCCCGTCGTTGCAATAACGCTCATTGCACAATTTGGCGACGCGTGGAAAACATCAGATGGGGGTCAACATTTGGACAATATGGCAACGCATTTGGAATTGGCATTCGCGACGGCCGCAGAGACACTACCAACGCGCTCTGCTGCAGCCAAGCGTCCGTGGATATCCAGAGCGACCCTTGATCTCATGGATGAGAGGAACCGTTCTCGCCATGCAATCAAATGAGCAAATCATGAACCAAGAAACTCGGAACGTTGGCGGCGAAGACGAACGACTCTGTGGAAACGAATATGATAGGAGGCAATGCGGAAATTGCGTCGACCTGTTGATGTCAAACATGCTGGAATCAAAAATGTGGATGACCATCTCGCAGACGCCGCTGCTAGAC